CCTCCTTTTTCTCTAATTTTGGTCTGCAAACTTAGGTTGTTAACCATCCAGAAGACAAGCTTATTGTTATTATCAAACGATTTAGGCTATTAAGCTTAACCTCACTATCTCACTGTTTCAAACATCTTAGGCATAAAAAGGAACCGGTATTTTTCAGCCTTTTATTTGTTGAGCTCAGGTCCGTCAGCCACTTCTCTCGCAGGAGAAGGCTGGTCGGCCCCGAACGTAGGTAGCAGGGGGGTATTTATAACAGAAATCACATCTAGTTTGGTAAGCGAGTTTGTTATCTAGCGCAAAACAACAGAAACTATATTTATTTGAAACAGCTGTAAACTGTTTATAACTAAAAGGTCTTTTACAGCTTAGTGATAAGTGTATATTTTTATTTTTTTAAAATTAATTTTATTTATTTATTTGTGTGTGTGTGTGTGTGCGCGTGTGTGGCCAGTTCAGCTCACCAGGGGGCAGGGCTGGCTGGCATGTGGTGCTGGGGGATTGAACCGTGGTCCCTGTGCTTTGCTGAGCTTGTTCTAAGTAGTTGTTTTAGACCACTGAGCCATCTCACCAGCCCCTAAGTGTATATTTTTATAAGATATATCTTAAGCTGACTATGTTATAGGAGATGGTTGGGGAGGGAGTTTGTGTTAGCTTGCTGCCTTGACAAGAAACAGTTATTTATTGTTGAACAGCCTTGAGCTGAAAGGGAGAATATATTTTTTTAGAGTAGATAACAGGAAGCACAAGGGTTTTTTAAAACTAATTTTCCACAGTTAAGGCACAGAACTCTGTTAACCCTTTACAAGAGACAGAGAGAGAGAGAGAGAGAGAGAGAGAGAGAGAGAGAGAGAGAGAGAGGAAATCTCCAGTCCTCCTGTTTTCTGGGCTTTCAGATTCCCCATGCCAGTTTCTAGGGATGAGGCTACAGGTTGTGTTTCTTTTCTCCCAGTTTAGATTTAGTCAGCTCACTTACTCTCCTGGGTATCAATGTGCCAATTGCATAATGGCACAGCCACCAGGTACCCACAAGAGCATGGGCATAGAGCAGGCTGTGAGGGTTCGGAAAGTTAATCACAGTCTCTGAGTGAAGGAAGAGAGCTTTGGGGTCCCTGACCCATCTGCCCCAAGTGAGGCGACCCCTCCCCTGGCCAATCTAACCAGCTGCTCGGCACCTAATACTGCGCTTCCTGCGTCGTGCGTCCGAATCTACCTGTGGCTTCTCGGATCGGCCTAGGTAGCACGGAGCAGAGGTTCGGGTCTCTCTGATTCTGCGAGCCCTGCCAGGTGGAACAGGCCTGGCACCCTGTGTGGAACGGGGGGCGGAAGGGAGGGACAGGGAGGAATCCAGCCGTGCGATGACGCTGCAAGCTTGGGTGATGACTGGAAGTTTGGTTGGGCTCTCCCGAGCCCTGCACAAGGACTCCCAGGTCTGGCTTCCTCCTAGCCGTCACGGGCAGGGCCACCGAGTGACCTGCAGCCAGTGACCTCACGCCGGAACCGGGTCACCCAGGGCCAAGTGGGTCCAGCGTCCTGCGTCTACCGCGGCGCTCGGCAGCGCCTGACCTCAGCCAGCTCCGCCGCGCTCTCGAAACCAGTGCGGAGGAAGAACAGGGGAGGGCGCGGACCGGGTGTCTCCCGGCGGAGCGGACGCCCCGCGCCCCGCGCCCGAGCTTGCACTCAGCCCCGGGCGGCACCTCTGAACCCGCGGCCGCTGCCCGAGGCCGAGGCGCCCGCCGGCTGCTCGCACCCGGGGAGCAGCCGCCGGCCTGGCTCCGGATCCACAGCGGTCCGCGCCGGGTTTTGGAGGCTGTGTTTACGTCGCCTGCATCCTCATCCCGCGGCCGGCGAAGCAGATTCCCAGCCGCACAGCCGGCCGGCGCGCTCCCAGCCCGGCCTTCTCGCGGAGACCCCGGCCCGGCCTGGCCGTTCAGGAGACCGCAGAAGGCAGGGAGGAAGGAGGCGGAGGATGAAAGATTCCGAAAATAAAGGTACAGGCCAGCGCGCAGAGCCGAGGGCGGCAGGGTGGCGCCGGACAGGTGCCGCGCGTGGGTGCCTGGGCTGTGGTTATGTAACCCGGGTCCACTCCCAGTGACTGGCAGATGGTGTGCATTCCGCGCTCTCGTGTCGCGTCCTAGCAGAACTCTGCTTTCGTGTTCTGTATTTCATCTTGGCTGAGGAACCTACACCGCTGTCACGCAGCTTGACCTATAACGCTCCGGGATTCTGATCATTTTTGTTTCGGGTGTTCCCTTGAGCTCCTCGCGGGCGTGTGGGGCGCAGGGCGTGATGAGAATGCCCTGCGCGACTTGGGGACTGCAGGCAGGGTGCGTTCTGGAGATAACCGAGCCCCAGGGCCCGCGGTGGGCATTCATCTCTCCGGGCCCTTGGGGCGCGGCCCGACCTTCACAACTGTTTATCTTGAAGGGACATTTGGGGGTGCTGCTGCCCCATCCCCCAGCACCCCAAACCCCAACCAGGCACTAGCACTAATTCGGTGGGAGGGGTGGGGGGGGGAGGAGAGAAAGGGATTTAGAGGAAACTCAGGAGAGGAAAGGGCTCCTGGACTTAAGTCAGCATCATTTTAAGTTCCTAAGCAAGGACTTGGGGGTTTTAAAGCTCTTCAGGCTCCTTACATTTTCTGCCGTAGTTGGGGGAGAAGCCCTGGACCCCCAGTCAGGGAGGCCCAGCGTGGCCCCTCTGGGCCTCCTCCTGCAGTGTCCGGTCGGTCGTCCCCGGGCATGAGTGGTGTCGCGCTGATTCCGGGGTCCTCAGCCCCCCTCACATCCTGAGCTCTGCCCTGGGCTGGCCCTGGTGACCTTCCCAGTCCTGTGTCCCCGGGGGTCTTGCCCCTTCCACCCTGCCATGAGCCTATTAGAAAGGAATTCCATGTTTAAAAGAGAAAAACAAGACAGCATCCCCCACAGAAACCCAGAAACCCGCTACCCCCTGTTCCAGACAGCCCTGCCGGGTAAGCATGGCTTCAGCCCCAACGCCAGTGTCGGTACCGCCACAGTTTCCGGGCGCCGGGTTCTGCCAGCGTTCTGCTCATCCAGACATGGGTCTGTGTGGTTCGGAGGTTTAAATCTGAATTAAGCAGCTCTGCCTGGGCCGGGTGGGGAGCGTCCACTGACCCGCTCTAAGCCGGCCTCGCGGGCCCAAGGACCCAAGGACGGACCACACCAGGTGTGAGCTCGCATTTACATGAACTCTGCGAAGGACGCTGGCCTCTCAGCCAGGATTTGCAGCGGCTGCAGAAAGGGTTCAAGGAAAGAAAAAAAAGTGCTTATTTGCTAAGTCATGCTAGGCCAGGCGTGATTTAGAGAAAATTAAACCGAGGTCAGGATTCACCATCGTGGGGACGGGACCGCGTCAGGTCTGAGCAGGTCTGAGGCTAGCAGTGTGCTCTGGTCTGCAGGGAGCTGGGACTCTGTGCCGAAAAGAGTTGGGCTGGCGCAGTAGGTCGCCCCTCGGTGACCCAGCCGGGAGGATGAGGCCCTTCCTCCCTCGGGCTCGGTTTCTCATGGGTGGAGGGAGGGAAGTTAGCCGATGCTACTGGTGCTACTGCTTTTCAGCAGGAGGAAGGTGAGGAGGCAGCACAGTGGGCCTGAAGCAGCATTTCAAGGGGGCTGGAGGGGTAGAGCACGAGGGGATGCCCCCCGCGGGGAGGGCACCTCCGTTCTGTGCTGACCGCCCTGCTGCTGCCCATGGGGCTGGGCGGCTGCGTCCTGATGGCGTGGACCCAGTTTGAACCTGTGAAGAGCCCAGATTGGGACCTGTTATTTGACTGGCGAAGAGTCTGAAGTGCTGCTGCTCACGCACGCATGTGCCTGCGTTTGTCTGCTGCAAGAGCCGGTCAGTAGTTCGCAGACCCAGAATGGGTGCTGGGGAAAGGATTCCTCAGCCCTTGACAGCGATGGAAGTCAGTGTGTTCCCTTAAAAGAAGCCCTTCGGGGCCAGGGGTATAGCTCAATGGCGCGTGCCTGGAAAGGGTAAGGTCCTGAGTTTGATTCCTGGTTTAAAAAAAAAAAAAGAAAAAGAAAAAGAAAAGGCAGAGAAGAAAGAAATATGCAGGAAGAATCCCTTCAGGGCTGGGTGAGGGGTGTGTTGACAAGCCCAGCTGAATGAATGTGCGTGTGTGTGAGTGTGAGTGTGAGTGTGTGTGTGTGTGTGTGTGTGTGTGTGAGTGATGTCACCATGGCAACCAGACCTGGAGCTTGTGTGGGTACCAAAGGATCAACCAGCTTATGGAACAGATAAATTAAAATTTAGTCTTTTCTTAGGATGACAAACAACTTGTAAAATGTGTGCCTTGTTTGGGAAGCCTGTCTCCTCGTAAAGGTGAATGAAGAGAACCAGATGAAATGTAACTGGATGAATTCATGACCAGTGTGTTCTGGTGGACGATCAGCAGGCAGAGCTTGAATTTTTAGAAGCCACCGTCACGAGCCTGGCGTGCAGTGTGTGTTGGGTCATGGCTGCATGGTTTCTAATCATTGCCAGCCATTTTTTTCCTGTACCTTAGGACAGTCTAGTGAAGGTTTTCTAATCTTTTTTTAATGTATTTGGTACAGGATCTCACTATGCAGTTTAGGTTTGTAGTGATCCTCCTGTTTTCAGCCTGCCCAATACTGGGGTTACAGGTGTGCACCACCAGGTTGGGTCTGGGGGGCTGGCTCAGTGCGCCTGGGGGTGGGGCCAGTATGGCCTGTGGTGTCCAGGACAGAACCCCAGTCTCTGTGCTTGCCTCGGCAGGTACTTATTCCGCGGAGTTAGCTTGCCAGCCCTCTTATTTTACTTTTTATTTGCACAAGTCTGTGGCGCATGCTGAGCACGCTCATCGTGTGGAGTTGGTGTGCGTGAAACACAGCCTGTCTATTTGCGCCCCACCCCATCCCGTTTCTCTGTAGCTTGCCCATTTACAATGGTGAAGTTTTTAAATACAAAAGTCTGTGTATAACATAACCCTTGTACCTCAATGCTTTGCAGGCCAGGATTAGTAAATTATGTATAAGGCAACAAAGAAGAAAACGTCGACTCAGTTAATAAGTAAACATTGATCAACATGACAGGTAATTATTATAATAACTACAGCTCCTATTTAAATAAGAAGTAGCAGGTGAATAGCTCTTGGAGAAGTGATTTACAGATTGTCTCAACATGCAAGGTAAAAAAAAAATGCAAGATAGGAGATAGGAGGTATTTTACTGGAAGAAAATGAATTAAGAATTTGACTAATTTTCTAGGTTTTTTTTTTTTTTGTCTTTTTGAGACAGGGTATCACTGTGCAGTGCAGGCTGGCCGTGAGCTCACTTTGTAGCCCAGGCTGGTTTCAAACTTGAAATGATCCTCCTGCCTCAGCTTTCTGAGTAGTGCTGGGATTACAGGTGTGTGCCACCATTCCCCACTAGGTTATGTTTGTTTGTAAAACAGGCATTTAAATGCTGAAGATTCTGTTCCAGATTTCTCTTTCAGTACATTCTTTGAGTATTTTGTCTTATTTTACTTATGTTTTTGAGATGGGTCTTGCTGGCCTTGAATTCACTGTGTAGCCCAGACTGGCTTTGAGCTCATGATGCGCCTGCCTCAGCCTCCCCAGTGCTGGGATCATAGGTGTGTGCCACCCTCTCTGCTGTCTTTGAGTATTTTATACAACAAGATCTGAAGACAAAGATAAGAAAGGAGAAAGCTTGATAATTTAGGTAGAATTTTTTTGATTTGTTTTTAGTAGGTCAGAAAAAGTTTTCTTCTGCTATTTTCCTAGATTTTATTTCAAAATAACAAACATGCCATTTTGGTTTTTTAAATTTATTTATTTATGTGTGTGTGTGTGTGTGTGTGTGTGTGTGTGTGTGGCCAGCTCAGCCCACCAGGGGGCGGGGCTGGCTGGCATGTGGTGCTGGGGGATTGAACCGGTCCCTGTGCTTGTTCTAAGTAGGTGCTTTAGACCACTGAGCCATCTCATCAGCCCCCAACGTGCCGTTTTGGGAGCAAATGAACACATGCATAACACTTAGCATGGAAGCTGGGCGCCGTGTGTGCCAGTGGCCCTGCCCTGGTTGTTATTTAGATTCATCACAAAACCTGGTTGGGGCTTGGACAGAGTCAGACCCAGCTTTGTAGGCTCTAGCATTTAAGAAATAATGTTATCCACACTCCAAGTGAAAGTAAAATAAATGTGAAGAGATCCCAAAGTGCTGGTATTTCTGTGCCCAGCACGGCGACTTTGGCACCCTGGTTCTCCCGCAGAAGCTCGCCCGCGCTGCGGCTGGCGGGCAGCTGGGAGGCGGCTTCTTCGCTGGGGCGGCTGCGGGCCGTGAATGATCTCCCAGGTCTCGGGGATGATTGCCCAGCTCTCCTGTGTGGTCAGAGCTGCTGGGAGAGCTCTGTGGACTCGCTGGCAATCTGCACGCTGTTGAGTGTCACGTGATTCAGGGGCCTTGGGTGGAATTCCTGGGCAGAGGCAGAAATGCTTGCTGTCCTGCTGTCACGCTCTGGACCATTCCATTTAGTGCCAGATTAGCTTGTGTCCGCCACCACTGTCAAATGTTTTGCTAGCGAGGTAGGCAAAGCCCTCCGTGTTTTTCTGAGCCCAGACTATCAGGCGGCCTTATCTGTGTACCGCAGTTTCCAGGCTCAAAATGCTGCGTGGGCCTAAGGAAGATCACGCTTCGATCCGTTTATCAAATCACTTACCCAGGGGGGCCTGCTGTGGCTGAGACACCAGTTCACCGGTCCCGTTCATCTGTACCTGGGCCACTGAGCCCAGTGACTTCCTTCTGTCCTCTAGAGCCATTCTGCCCTAGTGCTCAGGTGTTGGGACACATGCTTGTGTTAGAAATCATTTACTTTGCATCTACTTGTGTTGTAGTTGAAATAGTAGATATATGTGGCTTTGTGTTAGGCTGTGTTAGCTTTGAATTTCACCTCAAGATTCGGCGGAAATACAGAATATTTTAATATTGATGTGCATTGGCCCCGAGCACTCAGT